CAGTAGACAAGACTTCTAAAACGCAACAACTTTTTATAGATGCAATATTTATGAAAAACAAAGTTACCAGTTAGTTTTTAAAATTTGGCTTTTATAAAAAATTATAGCACTTTAAAGATCGTTTAAATTGGAACCTTATAGTAATTATATATAAAATAATTGTAATCTTTAAAACGCATCAACTTTTTATATAGAAGGTTTTTCAAAAAGATTTGGCAAATTTATAGAACTAGTATTGCTTTATAAAATTACTCATCAGTTTTTTGAAAAACCTCTTGTATAAAAAGTTATAATGATTTAAAAAATTGAAACATTTCAAGTATAGGCTTCTAACACCATATGATAATTAATTTTGTTCAAATTTTGCTAAAACGCTAATATAAACTTTATGTAAAATTCTATATAATAACAGATAGGTTTGTTGTACGTACGTAAAAAAAACTGCAAATTAAAAAAGGAAAAAATTATATATACGTATTATTGTTATATGTATATTTATCTATATTTACTAAAAAGCTTATTTTTAAATTTGAGAATATTTATTTATACGTATATGTAAAGATTTCATGTGCTATAATAAGTCTTGTCTACTGGTGCATTGACGTTACAGTATAAAGGCGATCTGATAATCACATTTCGGCAATTTTTCTTCGTTTATCTTTTTGTTCCAACAAAATTTCTCGAGAAAAAAGAATGGATTCCACGGGTAATCAATGCATACTGTACTAGTAGAAAAATTTTGATCAAGTTATTCTAATTTATTGAATCATTCATATTCTCAGAATATTATCTGGAGTTTGCCATAAAATTAGCCAAGCAGTGCGGACAAATAATTCTTGATGCATCAAATGCAAGATATTCTACAAACAGTAAAGTTCTCTCGAAAAATGACAATAAGACAGACTTAGTAACCGAAACTGATCAAATGATAGAAGATTTGATTAAATCAAAGTTGAAAGAATGTTTTCCAGAGCATAAGTTAGTTTTTATTATAAAAGATGAGAAAGTAGCTAGATATTCTTTTTAAATTCATTTTAATTCAAGGTTTATTGGTGAAGAGACAACAGCTGCTGGATATAAATATGAATTCACAGATGATCCAACATGGATTGTTGATCCAATAGGTGAAGAATATTTCACTCTTCCTGTTAAAGAATTATTTATTTATAAATAAATATAAAATTTTATTGTTTCAGATGGAACAACAAATTTTGTTCATGGATTTCCATTCGTAGCGGTCTCTATCGGGTTAACAATAAATAAGGAACCGGTTGTCGGCGTAGTGTTTAATCCAATCCTTAACGAAGTAAATTAATTCATATCAAATACTTTTCTCCCTCAATTAACGTTTAATTCATGCCTCCTAAAATCATTTTTTTTTTTAAAAAAAATCTATTCATTAAAGTTATATTCAGCTCGAAAAGGTCATGGAGCATTCCTAAACCAGGCGACTAGACTTCCGCTCTCATATCCAAACCCTCCCTTACAGCTACCATCTTCTCTTGATCAGTGCTTAGTGATTACAGAGTATGGCAATGATCGATCCGACAATACCATTAGTAAAAAAATAAACTCTGTTCATAATTTGCTGCGTAAGCCTGGTGCTGTTTCTTGGTCATCTAAAAAAGCTGGTTTAGTTAGGGGTATTAGGAGTGTTGGTAGTGCTGCTTTGAATATTTGTCAAGTTGCTCAGGGGCATGCTGACATTTTTTTTGAATTTGGATGTTGGGAATGGTTTGTATTTTAATATTTTTATTATATCAGAAAGTTTATGATGTAATTGTCTGATTGTTTTTTTATAAAGGGACGTGGCAGCAGCTCTCGTAATTCTTAATGAATCGGGTGGTATGATGGTAAATGCTCAAGGGTACGATGAAGGACCGGTTGACATTTTTGGTCGCAAATATTTAGCAATTAGAGGTGGATCACCTTGCGATGGCGATGAGGATTCTAAACAAAGTCAATTAAGGTTAATTAGGGAAATGTGGGATGTTATCGAGGATGTTGATTGTCCTAGAACTTGATTAACTGTTGTTATATTGGGACATCAATAGGAACGATCAATTTTTTAATTTATCTATAAAGTGTTTTACTGCAACAAATATATTTTTTCAAAAATATATAATATCTTTTTCGTTTAAGTCGTAACGGTAACGGTTATTTTCCTTAA